CGTATATATTCATAGTTTTCTCCTCTTGTGCCTCCAAGGTGATCAGATCATCAGAAACAAACCTAAGAGGCAGACGTTCATCATCTGAACGGTTGCCCACACAACCATCTCATCCTCCTCGAGAGATAGTCTGGAAGATCTACCACAGTCTAGCTTCAAGGAGGTTGTTCGTGCTGCGGCGCTAAGGTGAGCTGTTCGTGAAGAGGAATCTTACAAGGGAAGATTCTACACGACACCTGTGCACCGAGAGGTAATTGTGTAACAAGGATGATTCGGTAAGCATACCAATGTACTAGGTCCTAAACCGCTTCCGCATAAATCTAAGATTTCCTACATTTACAAGTTGTCACAAATTTTTAAAGTGATACACTTATAAATAACAGAGTAGCACCAGCTCAAATTCAAAACATTTCTTGGACGCTTTTGAATTGGCTCAAAATGATTGTTTGATGAGTTTTATAAAAGTTATGTTGTAGAAAAAAAGATTGTGTTATGTTATAGAGATTCTTTTTCCGTGTCCGTAATTTTTTATTTTTTATTTTTCAAAAAATACGAGCCTCACAAGATATTGTGTGTATAGTAAATTTTTTTTGTCATGTTGTATTATGAATGGAAATCCCTTGTTTAATTCTGAGAAACTTTTCATCTATTTGAGCTATTCTATAATATTATAATACTTGATGGGCTGCTTGGTCCATGTTTTCTTTTAAACGCAGATTGCTTGGGCTGGGCTAATCTGGGTAACAGTGAGCCTTAACTAATAGCAAAACTTAAATAGGTTTGTTGATGTTGTAATATTCGAAACTTGACTAACGAGGAGGGTTCCGGATCCGGCCTCAACTTAAATGATCCCTTCTCTGTTTCGTGACTCTCTTTTTTGGTAATTGTTTCGTGACTTAAATTCAAAAACTTTCATTGGTTAGTTGTTGAAATTTTCTTCTTCTTTTTTTTAGAGTACATGAAATATCTTTCTTCAACTCATTAAAAAAGAAAAATATACGAGAAAAAAAATTAAAATATTATACTTTTAATAATTAATTACGAATTGATAGCAGTTTGGAAATTATTTTCGAATTTATCGCAGTCATTCACGCCCAAATTAGGCGTGACTCCCAATACATTAACGCCTAAATTAGGCGTGACTCGTCTGGTGTTGACACGTGGCACAAAAAATTAATAGTTTAACCGTAAAACTTTATAAGGTCATAACTTTTGACTCGGGTATCCAAATGAGGTAATTCTTTTTTTGATTCCACATAACTTTCGGAGATCTATGCAATGACATCCCATTTGATATATTTTATCTCTCACAAACAAAATTCAAATTTACAACAACAATACTATAAAGATGGCACCAAAGTGGATTAACTCATCTTTAAATAAGATGGCACCAAATTTCCTATTAAAAACAAAACGCAATTAGCTCCAATTAAATACAAAACACAATCAACTCCTTTAACATTAAATTCAAAATTCAAATAACCACCAGCAAATTTATTTGAATTGGCGACAATCTGTAACCAACTCATAAAATTACAACGCAATCAGCTCCTATTAAATACAAAACACAATGAACTCCTATTAAATACAAAATGCAATCAACTTATTGAAGGTTATTTGAATTTTGAATTTAATGTTATAGTACCATTATTGGGCGTGAATGAATGCAATATATTCGTAATTAGGTTCAAAACGGAAACTTATTTGTAATTATTTATTAAAAAATCAATATTTTAATTTTTTTACCTCTACCAAGTGTTTGAAAAAAAATAGTGTACAAGGTTATTTATTTAATTATTAAAATATATACAAATTTATATAAAATACCAATTATTTAGAATATTTATTTAATTATTTTCTTTATTAATACAGATTTTTTAAATTAATTTTTGAGTTTAAATCACGAATTAAATCTTTATTTTGTTTTTCTTATTAATAATAATTTTTAATTTTTTTTTAGTAATACACTATATAATACAATTATTGCAAATTTAAATTGTGTTTGTAAGAGATAAAATATATCAAATGAGATGTCATTGCGTAGATCTCCGAAAGTTATGTGGAAACAGAAAAAGAGTTACCTCATTTAGATACCCGAGTCAAAAGTTATGGCTTTATAAAATTTTACGGTTAAACTATTAATTTTTTGTGCCACGTGTCAACACCAGACGAGTCACGCATAATTTAGGCGTGAATGTCTTGGGAGTCACGCCTAATTTGGGCGTGAATATTCACACCTAATTTCGATGTGAATAACTGCAATAAATTCGAAAATAATTTTCAAACTACTAACAATTCGTAATTAATTATTAAAAGTATAATATTTTAATTTTTTTGCCCAATGTATGATGATAACAATAATAATAATATTGAATTTGAAATCATATTAAAATAATTGCAATTAAATTTTTTCCATCAGTTTTCTTAGAACTCTATGACATTTTAACATGGTTCACTTTTTGTCTTTTTCTGTATTCTCCCAAAATCTACACTGACTAATGACTTGTAATTGGATGTATCATGGTGAAGATAAGTGGATTATCGAGGACGCATAAACAAGGATAAGAGAATATGATAGATTTTAAAAATTATAAAATATAATATTTACAATAACATTAAATAAAAAATTAAAAGAGAGATTGAATGTTAATTTAACATTAGTACAAAATTATGTATTTAAATATTAATATTTATTTTTCTTGTATTAGAATAAATTATAATTGTCTTTATAAAATGACAATTAAATTGCACTACTATTTTTTATTTTAAAAATTACATCTCCCTTGAAAGATAAAATTGTGTTAAATGTTAGTCCATTTTAATAGAAACGATCCCTTTAACAACGATAAATAACTATAAATGAGTTTCTCAACTATATATATATATATATATATATATATATATATATATATATATATTGAATTAATATTTCTCATGTTGTACCAGATAATTTTATATTTTACGCACACATGAAAGAATGTAGAGTCCATATTTTTTTTTTCTCTTATCAACATATTACCTCATCTTGGCACCATATACTTTTATGTTTGTATAAGAAATAATTTTATCTCTTATAACATAAGAAAAATCAAACCTCTAAATATATATGGGAGGATTGAAATTCTCCAGGAGAATTTCATCCATTCCTGCAAAGACAAAAGACTTCCCTGTAAACTCTTTTTTTTTTTTCTTTTCAAAGGGACCCATGATTTTTTGTTAGTGTTGAAATGCCTGCAACTTGAGAAAGTTTACACACACATTAATTTAATGTTTTTTTTTTTTAAACGGAGAGATACTAGATAATTTATCTTATGTGACTTCAAAACGATGTCATTTTGATATTAGGAGAAATTTTTTTTATAATTTAAATTTATTTTGATGCTATATTAATTTTTATTATTATAATTTTTTTTCAATAAAAAATGATAACGCGAAATAAGGCTTTTTGACCTTAGTAGTGTCATTTTCATAAGGTTTCACCGGAATAATTTATTGGTCAAACATATTACCTATATAATGCATAACGACGCGGTACTGTGAGAATCACTTTAGAACGTGACACTTTAGCAACCGCGTCCTTTGCAGTTGTTCCTGACCACAGGAACGTGATACCCTGGCAATCACGACTGGAACGTGATACCCTGGCAATCACGTTCTATTCCCAAGACGCGGTACACTCTCAGCCACATGTCAGTGGGTCCCATCCCAAAAAAAATTCAACAGGAAACGGGAGTGTATAGCCGCGTTCCAGATTACAAGTCAAGTCGGAATCAAGCAGATATATATATTTCACCTAAAATTTAGACATATTGATATATTCACGGTAAAAGAGTTCAAAAAATCCAATAAAAGAAACAAGTTATTTTCGTACAAAATGGTTTTTATAGTTGCTAGCAATTTATTCTTTACTGGTTAGAAGACTAACTCTTAAACCAGAGAATAATTAATTTAGAAATTTACTAACAATAATAATTTTAAGGTGTTGGATGAAGGTCTTTATAATAGTTTATATTATTCACTTACACACTCACTCATACGAAAGCCCTTTGGACTTGAAGTATGAATTTTGCATAGATTATATTTTTTTTGTTTACCTTAATATAAATCATTAAAAAAACTCTCACTCATCACATTAAAATTTTGGATTAAATTGTTTCTTTCACATATTGGAAATCGAAAAAGCAGACCAAACACGAAACATGGGTATAAGATTGGGTACTATTGGATTTATTGGATGTTATGTACTCTTTTACAATGAATATATCAATATGCCTAAATTTTAGGTGAAACATATATATATGCTTGGCTCCTATTTGACTTGTAACCTGAAACGCGGCTTATACACTTCTGCTTCCTGTTGAATTCTTTTTGGGATGGGACCCACAGACATGTGGCTGAGAGTGTACCGTGTCTTGGGAATAGGACGTGATTGCTAGGGTATCACGTTCCTGTGATCAACAACAAATGCAAAAGACGCGGTTGCTAAAGTGTCACGTCCTAAAGTGATTCTCACAGTACCGCGTCATTATGCATTATATAGGTAATATGTTTGACCAAAAAATTATTCCGGTGAAATCTTATGAAAATGACACTACTAAGGTCAAAAAGCCCAAAACTTTATATTCTAATATTTAAAAGTTAATATTAGCTTAGTTATTTGTGATATATATTATTTATTGTTTCTCTATTTATCTATTTATCATAGATGAAGTTATTTCGCGAACTTTTGACCATTATAATTCAACCTGTTTAAAAAAAATACCAAAACAATTCAAAACTGAAAAGAATTACCAAACTAATGTAGTAGAATGCGTACCAAAAGGATGTGTGTTTAGCCACAGTCATTTTTTTTTATAACAAGCCACAGTCATTTTGTATGGTTTAATCGTGGTTAATATTTATTCAAAAGAGTTGGCATTGACTAATCAGGCATGATGGGGGTGCATCATTGCTTTAGCCAATCTTAAATTGTTGCAAAATAACTGTGGCTGTGGAAGAGAATGAGGAAACCTTGGGAGAAAGCTCTGATTGTTAAACTCCTTGGGAAGAAAATTGGGGTGGAGTTTATGAAGAAAAAAATAAATGTCTTATGGGCTAGAAAAGGCAAAATCAATGTCACTGATATTGGTAATGACTTTTTCGTAGTCCAGTTTAGTGAGAAGGATGATCTCAATTTTGCGTTGAACGGTGGTCCATGGATTGTTTTAGGTCATTATTTATCGTTGAGGAAGTGGGAACCAACTTTCAGACTTAATAGTGCTGGAATTGCTAAGATTGCTGCTTGGATTCGTCTACCGGATATTCCCATTGAATTCTATGATGAAGCTTTTTTTAGAAGGATTGGAAACTGGTTAGGCAAGATGATCAAGGTAGACAGCAATACAAATGCTCATGTAAGAGGACGATTTGCAAGAATATGTGTGGAACTGGACCTATCTCAGCCATTAAAGGGTGATTATGTGCTGGAAGGATTTACCAAACAAATTGAGTATGAAGGATTAGGGCTCATTTGTTTTGGTTGTGGGAAATATGGACATAGCACCGAGAATTGTTCAGCTGCTCCAAAGCAACGCAGTTCATCCGATATTCATAATGACGATCAAATTCATCAAGAGGAACCTAGCAACTCAGAATTCCATCGAAGCAAAGGATTGGGACCTTGGATGGTTGTTAACCGTCAACGCAGGAGCCAGCAACCTCCTCAGACGGCCGGTGCAGTCCAGCCAGGCACTGGTTCAAAAACGTTACAAAGGAATAATGATAAATGAGTTATGACCAGCGATAATCATGGAGATAATCATGGTGATAAGAGAGTTATGACCAGCGATAATCATGGTAATCATGGTAATAAGGGAGTTATGACCAGCGATAATCATGGAGATAATCATGGTGATAAGGAGGAAATTACGCAATCACGGTTTGCAATCTTAACAGCTGGACCTATTAACGAGGAGGATCATAATCAAATAATTAATTCTGTTACTCCTCATATGGGGGGCCCCTCAGTTTGAAATTCCTCAGAAAATATGGACTAAATCCAAAAAGTCCAAAGATACCCCTAGGACTAAATCAACGGTTCCTACTATGCATGCGGCTCATTCTTCAAGCATGGTAAGAGGTGTCCAGTCCAGAGTGAAAATCGTGAAGATCATACTCCCGTTCCACCATCTCCATCAATTGCTACTCCCATGGCGGTTAGTCCTATGCAAGCAAATCAACATGATCAGGAAAATGGGATGAAAACAGATAGCACTTTGAACCAGAATCAAGAGCAGTTATATGACACATTTCATAAAACTGGTCCTGATATATCAGTTGACAACAGCAGCGACATCCAAAATCCTAAAACCTCAACCATCTCTACGTGCATGGAGGTGGACAGAGTTCACCAGGAAGATATTTCAAGAATGAAGGATGCAAGAACCTTGGAGTCTTGCGTTCAACATAGTTTTTAATGAATTTATTCTTCTGGAACTGTAGGGGAGCAATGAAACCCCAGTTTCAAAAATCGCTTTTTCTGTTTACTAGGAAATATAAGCCTAGTATTGTAGTGATTCTAGAACCTCGGTGTAGTGGTCAAAAAGCTTCTGACATTATCCGAAAATCTGGGTTTAAGCATGCTTTTGTTCAAGAGGCAGAAGGTTACTCAGGGGGTATTTGGATCCTCTGGAATGATGAGACTGGTCTCGTTGAAATTGTTAATCACACAAAACAGTTTGTTCATTTTAAAGTTCAGAATTTTCATGTTCCTTCATTTTCTTGCACGACAGTTTATGCGAGTCCTAGGGAAGAAAATAGAAAGGAGCTATGGGATGATCTGTTAAACATTAGTCTCCATTGTAATGGGCCGTGGTTGGTGGCTGGGGATTTTAATGAAATAGCAAATCGGGATGAGAAGAAAGGTGGCTGTAGAGTTAACTTAAACAGATGTTCCAATTTTGCAAATGTTCTTCATAATTGCAAGCTGCTGGATCTTGGAGGATCAGGTCCTTGGTTTACATGGAAGGGTCCGAAGTTTCTTCATCTTGATCGTGTTTTTAAGAGGCTGGACCGAGCCTGTGCTAATGCAAGTTGGAAGACTACCTTTACTGATGCTGGCGTTAAGGTACTTCCACGGATTTATTCTGATCATAGTCCCATTTTGGTCTACTTGTCTAACTTGGACACAGGTTGGAAAAATCGTCCCTTTCGCTTTGAGATTGCTTGGATGGAGCATTATAACTTTACTCAGTTTCTGGCTAGGAGCTGGAATGTTGTGAAAGACACTAGAACGAATCTGCATGATCTGACTCCAAATTTAAAAAGATGGAACAAGATAGTCTTTGGCAACATTTTCTATAGGAAGACTAACCTATTGCATAGTATTGCAGAAATTCAGAATCATGTTGATTATCATACCAACTTATCTCTCCAATCTAGAGAAAAGGAGGTTAGGAAGGACCTTGATGCGGTTCTCATACAAGAAGAGATTTTATGGTTTCAAAAAGCCAGGGTGAAATGGATAAATGATGGGGATAGAAACACCAAATTCTATCACATTAAAACAGCTACTCGAAGAAGTTCGAATAGGATTCTTGAGTTAAAAAATTCTGATGGGATTTGGGTGAAGGAAGCTAGACAACTTCATCAATTGGTAACAGATTTCTATAGCAACTTGTTTAGTGAGGAAGTCCTTAATCGTGATTGGGTGAAATCAAAGACTACTTGGCCCCTTCTGCACGATGATCTGCTATCTAATCTGACTCGTAATCTTTCGGATGACGAAATTTTAAAAGCTGTTTTTAGTATCAATGGGTCAAAAGCTCCAGGGGAAGATGGTTTTCCAGCTGCCTTTTTTCATAAGAATTGGAATCTTATTAAGACTAATGTTATTAAGGATGTTAATATGATGTTTCAGAATCCCAATCTGATTCACCTTGTGAACTCGACTCTTCTGGTCCTCATTCCAAAAGTAAAGAGACCTGAAAGTGCTAAGCAGCTCAGACCAATCTCTTTGTGCAATGTCATTTATAAAATCCTCAGTAAAATTCTGGTTAACAGAATGAAGCCCCTAATGGAAAAGATGATGTCTCCCTTCCAAGCTAGTTTTGTTCCTAAACGACATATCCAGGACAACATCATCATCACCCAAGAGCTGATCCATTCAATGCGTAGAATGAGAGGAAGAAAATGTTTCATGGCAATTAAAATCGACTTGGAAAAGGCTTATGATATGTTAAATTGGGAGTTTGTTCGTAAAATTTTGGATGAAATTCAAATCCCACACTGGTTCACAAATATTATCATGAATTGTATCAACTCTGATAAGGTCTCAGTGCTTTGGAATGGAGTCATTGCAGGTGACTTCCTTCCTTCAAGAGGAGTTCGTCAGGGTGATCCTTTATCTCCCTACATTTTTGTTCTAGCCATGGAAAAATTGTCTCATCTCATTCAAGATGCGGTTGACAATAAGAGATGGAAGCCAATCTCCGTGGGATCAAAAGGTCCTAAGATAGCCCATCTGATGTTTGCTGATGATTTGATGTTGTTTGCAGAAGCTTCTCTAGATCAAATCAAAGTTATAGTGGATTGCTTGGAGACTTTTAGTTCAATGTCTGGCCTAAAGGTTAGTATTCCGAAATCTAGTATTTTTTTCTCGAAAAATACAGATGCTCACATTGCAAATGATATCACAAATGTGTGTGGCTTCAAGCAAACTCACAATATAGGGAGATATCTTGGGTCCATGATGAAACATGGTCAAGTAACCAAAGACCATTATGCTGATGTTGTTGCAAGAATTAGGCACAAGTTATCTGGTTGGAGTAACCAGGTCTTATCTTTTGCCGGTCGAATTACATTTTCCAACTCCGTTATTTCAGCAACTCCTATATTTCAAATGCAACACAGTCTGCTTCCTGTAGCCATTTGTGATGAAATAGAGAAGTTGTAGCGTGCCTTTATTTGGGGTGATAAAAATGGTCAAAGGAGATCTCATCTGGTTGCATGGGATAATATTTGCAAGCCTAAGAGCATGGGTGGCTTAGAGGTGTTTAACCTTCGTGTCCAAAATATGGCTTTCTTTCACAAGCTTGCATGGACGATACTTACTTCGCCCGATTCGTTGTGGGTTCGAGTTGTAACAAGTAAATATAAGAGAGGTTTGGATCTTCGGAGGGAAGTAAATCATAAAGCATATGACTCATACTTCTGGAAAAATCTGTGTAGTGTTTGGCCATCTTTTCTTCAAGCAATGCAATGGGAGATTGGAGACGGTAATGATGCATTATTTTGGACAGACAATTGGTTGGGTTTAACTGAGTGTCTTGCCTCTCTGGCTACTCGTACTCCAACTGGTTTGGAGTTGAATCTCCCTGTTAGTGCCTTCGTGAACAGCAATACTGGTCAATGGAACTTTCCCTATATTCGTCAATATCTCAATGATCAAGCTGTTGCAAGGATCCAAGCTGCTCTCATTCCTAGCGCATCGGATGGAAATGACCGCATTATTTGGAGAAATCAAAAGGTTGGCTGCTCTTTAGTTAAAACCGCGTATTATAACATGCTTGGTTTCCCTCTCATGCCGTTGAAAAATTCTTGGACTACCATATGGAAATGGCATGGGCCTCAACGTGTTAAATCTTGTATGTGGATCATAATGCATGGCCGCCTTCTTACTAAAGACCGCACATCTAGATGGAGTGGGGAATCTGGTCATTGTAAAATATGTCCTGGTGAGTTGGAAACAAACCTCCATGTTCTAAGAGATTGTAAGCATGCTAGAAGTGTTTGGAATTCTCTGGTTTCAGCTAATCGGCAAAGCTTATTCTACAGCTTGGATCTTAGAGATTGGGTTGAAAATAATATCTCAAAAGCTTGGAATCAAAGTAATTCAGATGATTGGCGTGATGTCTTTTTTATCTCTTGTTGGTTCATTTGGGGATGGAGGAACAAAAGTGTCCATGATACTAACTTCAAGCATCCAACCCATGGAACACACATAATTGCTATGTATATAGAGGAAGTTCGTAACTGCATGGGTAGGAAGGCTATGGCTACTACTAGCATTCATCCAACTCGTATGAGTTTATGGAAACCTCCAAGGTTAAATTGGGTGAAGATTAATATTGATGGGGCAGTTGAAAGGAATACTGAGGTGGCTGCTTGTGGTGGGATTATCAGATCTGATGATGGCTCTTGGTTGGGAGGCTTTGAGTATCATATTGGTGCTTGCACTCCTTTAATGGCGGAGCTTTGGGGAACTCTAAAAGGTCTGGAATTGGTTTGGCAACTGGGATTTAAGAAGGTGGAACTAGAAGGAGATGCTTCTGAAGTATTCTCTTTGCTTGCTGATTGCAATGCAGCTTGTCAGCCTCGTATAGTGGCTAAGATACAAGCACTCATCGGTCAGGATTGGGAGGTAACGCTTTCTCATATTCCAAGAGAAGCTAATTCTTGTGCTGATTGGTTAGCCAAGTCTGCTCTTCACAAAGATACTGGATTCTGGAGTCATAGAGTTATGCCGTTTCACCTTGCTCAGTTATTTGATCACGATCTTCAGGGAATCTCCTCTTGTAGGGATATAGACCCTGGATAGTTATTTTTTGTTTCTGGTTGTTTGTTTGTTTTTGTTTGGGGCTTCGGCCCTTAATGTTATCAAAAAAAAAAAAAATTAAATGCGCAACCCCCCAATAACGTTATAATGTATTAAGGTGGTATTTTTTTTAAAAAAATATTGACACTGAAATAGTTAAAAAGTCAACAATAAATTAAGAATCGCGAAGACCGA